GCATTTACATAGAACAGTAATCACCAAATGTCTGGTTAATGTGTAATGAAATTGGTGACAAAACTTTCATAGATGAGTGGATGAATATGGTTTGTGCGAGAGAAATGGAAAACAATTAAAATGCATCTTTATAGAAATCTGTTTCTTGATTCGTTAGCATTAGTAGGATGAAAAATTTGGATAACCGGTAGTTTCTGTATCCCTGTGGTTGTGCTATCTGTTCACATTGATCATTGATGCTTGCTGGTAGCTAGTCCAACAGTGTTTGCTTGTTATGTCAACTTGTTTAGACGGTCAGGCCAAGCTTGTGCTAAAAAATTATCGATTGGTATATTGTGAACTACAATTTATATTGGCCTACGTTTATCAGTATTACACATCACATATGGATCTTTACCGGTACATCACATTACTATTGATGTGATTTATAAGTATGAAAGATGCTATTAGAAGTGGTAGGTAGTTAAATTATGCATATATTGAATTAAAGTTGTTGTATTGTGTGAGGACGACTAATTGATACTCCCTCCTATTTTTTTTTAAATGTCATTCTATCTTTATCAACTATTAAATACATTTAACTATATTGACTTTTTGTACATATTTTTTTATTATTACCCTCATTTAACTAATAAATACATTACGTCTTTTCATATTCACTCTTCACTTTTTCTAAAAACATTCATCTCTATCTTCATTAAATAAGGTTGCTATTGACAAAAAAAATATTTTTAATTAATATGCAACTTCTCAAAACGACAAATATTAACAATAGGGGGTAGTATTATTTAATTATATTGATAATATTGAAGAGAGTGCTGACTTTTTTGAGTTAGAATATCGAAAATAAAGTAACACAATCAGTCACAACCGATTTTTTTCATATCCAAACGTACACTATATAGCTACATATTGTATGTACTAATATCGTTAAATCATGATTGAAACACTAAATAAAACGTGTTATCATATATCAAGTTTGAAGTTGCATATTATCCATTTCCATATATCGTTAAAACATAAAATAAAACATTTGATAAAACTAACTTTGTCATATATCAAATTTGAAGTTGCACAATCTCTTTTCTGCACCGAAGTAGGGAAAATACCTAGCTGAAGTTATTGCGTCTTATTCATATGTGATGATGGGCTGAAGCAAAACAAAAAGTCTTTTTCTCCCATATATAGTCAATAGCAGAGCCACAACTAAGCTACACCCTAGGTGGATCCTGCGAATAGTCCATGTATACTTCATATATTTTCAATATATTTATATCCTTGTTCGATGGCACAAATATTCTACCACATTTCGTTTCACGATTTCCTCATGCTCATTGGCTCTTGGTCCGAGCCGATTTTTGTAGTGGGTCTTATCCGCTTCTCTGTCAGTCTTAAGACGTTCCCCTTCGGTCATTGCATTCCCCCAAGCATCATGTACTTTTCGCTACTCGTCATTCACACTCTCAAGTTGCTCTCCCACACAATCTCTGATCGCCCTTGATCTTATCTACCTGGTCTGACATGTTATGTGCCTCGCTGATCCCATGCATGATCAACCCCATCGCCACAACTATGTTTGCAAACACCCACTTAAGCTGCTCCGATATGTTCATGTCTTTACTACTGTCTTCTCCAATTCAGTGTTCCAGACCATCATCGGGATCTTGGTTGTCAGAATATGCCTTGGACATTATGAGGATTCAGCACTTCGGGCACAGACGGACCCACAAATTCGTAGTAACATTTGGAGCGGAGACTTCAATGTTCCGTTCAACCCTCTATTTCTTGGGATCGCACGGAAGGTAACCGACTATTATACCTTCTGATGCCTAAGAACTTTATTGCTCGTACTTGACCACAGAGACTGGCTCATGCTGGGGGAACCACTTCTGGACGGGCTAGCTCCAGTTGAGAAACGATCAGCTCTGAACGATTCGATCCTAGTTCAACAATTATTATCTCTTATACAATCTCTCTTTCTTCTCGATGAGTCAACTGCTTTTCCACTCCATCTTCTTCAACATACGGTGAAGTCGGGGGCGATCACGTAGGGGAGATTTCAGTCATGAATGTTTGGATGCTTTTGCGGTCTCCTTAGATAC